TTAGGTTTTCAAAAAGAAGATACAGATGAGGAAGGGAGAGAGGAAGGGGAGGATATAGAAGAGGAAGTTACAGAACAAGAAGCGGAGAAAAGAAAAGGCCCTACGCCAAAGAAAGGGAAGAACAAACCAACTAAGACAACATATCAAATTTTAACAAGGTTTAAGTACAGAAGCAGAGGAACAAGTAACAAAAAATAAATATGATACCATCAAAAAAAGTCAACTCATATCTATAAACTGGGAGCAGTGGCGCATGGCGTTAAAAAGCCTGCAGGTTAATCTAGCCGAACTGCTGATGGCAGTTCGAGTCCCATCGCGGCCGGGGTGAGCTCCTGGCCCCTTTTCCCAGCTCCCGCCCACCCAGCGGTCCGAAAGCCTATACGGGCAAGTAGGTAAATGGGTACCTGCTCCTTACGAGCGGGGGGCACCTTTCCTCCATGATCGGTGTTAAAAAGCAGCGGCAATGGTGTTGAATCGATGAAGATAAGGCGAAGATGGCGGCGAGCGGCAACTGAGTACGGAGACCGGTGCCTGAAGGAGCATGACGTTGCGGCGAAGACTGGAGTCGATTGGACAAAGAGTCGAGCTGCCTTGTTCGTGTTCTGTGGGGGCCATCTGCTGGAAAGGAGCCGCTACTGCAGAGAATCTATACTACAACACTGGACATCTTCACCCTTGAGGAAACAGAACCACCATCGAATCCACCGCCGAATTCAAGAAAAAGATCCTGCTGTTAGGTGCCTAGTTAGGAAATACCCTCCCCTCACCATTGTACCCCTACCTTAGATAGAAAATTGTGTGTCTGTAAACCTGTCTGTAAACTGCTCTGAGCCTCATGGATAGGGCGTTATATAAATCACAAATGTATGTATGTATGTATAAACATAAATGGTCTGAATAGTCCACAAAAAAGAAGAAAGACATTCCATCAATTACACAAAATCAGAGCTGACATTATTTGTCTACAAGAGACGCATATAAGAATAAGGATGTTAAATATTTGCTATGCAAAAAATTAGGTAATGCTTTCATAGCTTCTGCCGAAGGAAAAAAAGGGGGCGTGGTTATATATGTGAAAGATTTCTTAAACCCAAAACTGGTATATACAGCAGATGACGGTTGGATAGTGGTAATTGCAGTTACGAGAAATGGTAAAGAAACATTAACAGTCAATATATATGCCCTGAATCAAAATCAAGAAAATTTCTTCAAAAAAATGCAAACAGCTATAAATTTAAAGGAGGTAGATTTTGGGTGATTATAATTCAGTTTTTGATCCTGTAATGGATAGAAAGAGTCATAGGAAAAACAATAAAGCAGGCAATGTAATACCAAAGAGTTTCCTCCAAACAGCAGAAGAATATAATTTAACTGATGCATGGAGAACCAGAAACCCCCAAAATTGGACTATACCTATTACTCATCACAACATAATTCATAGTCACGAATTGACATGGTTTGGATATCTTCTAAGATGATAAGTGATGTATTAGAATGTGAGACCTTGCCTTTGTGGATCATAATCCTCTATTACTTACTTTAAAAGAAGAACAAAAGTAGCTGGACCATGAATTTAGGACAACTTAGCAATCAGGAAGTCGTTAAAAAGATCAAGAAATAAATTATTGATTTTTTTTTTAGGAGAAACATCCAAGTTTCTGATTGAAGTAGTCTGGGATGCATTTAAAGCTTTTGTGGAAGGTTGTCTCATCAACCAGAATGCGTGGAAGAAGCAGCAAAATAAGAAATACGAGATGCTAGTTGGTCAGATTAAGATAAAAGAAAAAGAAAAATGCCTTATTATTAAACTACGAAATGAGTGGAACGAAGAGAAATATAGATTGCAAGAACTTAAAAATATAGTGGAAAAATACTATAAAGACTTATATCAGCAAGATAAACAGGACGAGTCCCAAATTAAAGAATACTTAGAAAAAGGGAATTACACGAAGTTTAATGAACAACATAAGGTAAAGGTAAAAGTTCCCTTGCTCGAAAGCCAGTCGTGTCCGACTCTAGGGTTGCGGTGCTCATCTCCGTTTTAAAGCCGAAGAGCCAGCGCTGTCCGAAGACGTTTCCGTGGTCATGTGGCCGGCATGACTAAACACCAAGGCGCACGGAACGCTGTTACCTTCCCACCGAAGTGGTACCTATTTATCTACTTGCAATTTCTTGCTTTCGAACTGCTAAGAAGATCTTAAATGAGCTGATTACAACATGTGAGATAGTAGACACAATTAAGAGGCTAAAAAAGAAAAAAAAGCTCCTGGGCCAGATGGTCTACTGGTGGAACTCTACCAAACGTTTGAAGAACAGATATGCATGCCATTAAAAGACCTGCTTCAGAAGATAGGCAAAGTAGGAACAATACCTGAGTCATGGAATCATGCACTAATTACTTTAATTCATAAACCCAACTCAGATGGATGTGAAATAAAAAACTATAGGTCAATATCCTTATTAAATGCTGACTACAAAATATTCACCAGCATCTTAGCTTATAGATTGAAAATGGTGCTATCACACACTATACACCAAGACCAGATGGGTTTTCTGCCAAAAAGACAAATGAAGAATAATTTACAAATAGTTATTGATGTACTAGAATATTATGAATCACATCCAGATAAAGAACTTATTCTAATGTTTCTTGATGCAGAGAAAGCTTTCGACAATTTATTGTGGAATTTTTTTTGCAGAAACTAGACATATCGGACTGTGGTCAGTGTTTTTTAACTATGATTAATGCAATTTATAAAACGCAATATGCAAAAGTCCTGAAGATTAATTTCCAAGTTCCTGGGATATACAACCCCTGCCCAGCAATGTTCCCTCTAAGCTGTGGCATCTTGTGAGCCAAAATTCTACTTTGTGAGCTAGCTCAAACTAACTCAGCTTAGAGGGAACATTGCTGCCCAGGTCTGTTTCAGGCTGGGAATGTGACACAGAGAGAAATGCTGAAGCCCTTTCTCCACATGCACTGTGGTCCTGACCTTAATCAGGTATCACATACACAGAGAAAAAACTGAGAAGACCCAACTTTTGTACTCCATAATGTGTGTAGACTTAAGAGGATCACTGACTACTGCTGCAACCTGGAATTCCAGGTTCGGGAACATCTCTAGATAATCACAACCAAAAAGCAGCTAGAATTACTGGGAAAGGGGCTGAACTTTGGCAACAGTGAAGATAGCAGAGTATGATGATCATAATTACTTGGGTCTTATGTATATTCAGCTTCAAACTAATCCAATCCCCCAGACTAAGCAAGTGCTGAGTAAGCTGGAGACCACTTTACGGCACAGTTCCAATGCTACTCTGGGTTATAACTCTGTGACTCATTCTGCCTTTCAGGGGGGGAAAAAGCTCTTTTGGTATCTCAGGATTCAAAAGGACTTATCAATTTGTATGACAGAAGCTGTATTTACTATCTGCTGCACAATTGAGTCTGAACAGATTTCCAGGTACTTTGATCATAGGTATTTATACTTCCCTTGTGTAGAATGCTGCTTCAAAAACCATGCAAATTTAAAAACTTGAGTGTATGTTTAAGCCACCAATACCCAGTTTACTCATGGCTTTCAACTCCTGAGACTGTCATACCTTAGAGATATATATAATAATGGCTAGAACCATATGTTTAAAATGATAAAAATCCAGATAATAAAAGGTCACTTTTTAGTACAAGTCTTTATTCGTTTGCTTCTCAGCCAGTACATACAAATCAGGCATAGCCCAGAAAAGAGCCTGAGATGAGGTTAGTTCACATGCGGTTTTTTAAAAAACAGTTTTAAATGGTGCTGTTGCAATGACAAGTTTAAAAGCATAAAATCAGGGTTTCCCTTCCACATGCCTTAATTTGTAATCAGTCACATATAAGATGGATGTACAAATGATGTCACCATATGCGATATGTACAAGTTATCCTAGATAAAAGACACAGTGAGTCATTTCTGTCAAGTAATTAAAACCTCCATGTAGCATCACATGCACAGGAGGGCAACTTTGTTGTACCTCTGCAGCGGTTTAGCACTGTTACCCCTAAACAGAAGTTGGTGTAAGTGATTCTGAAGGATGTGAGGTTCAAAATTCCACTCTGGGAGTATTTTGTGGCTCTTTGTGCTTCAATAAGCAGGACCCATCCCTTTGGGTTCCCATGAAAGAGTTTATAATATTGCTTTCAAACATCTTCAAAATATGTTTAATGATTCATTGGGCAAACTCAACACAGTCTAAAATACAACCTTACTGACTTTAAAAAAATTGTTTTAGGCAAAAGCCAAAAATTAGACCAGTAAAAGGACAGCACCAGAGCACTTGTGGGTGGAAGAACCTCCCATCTCCTCCATTTGGACATGTTTTGATCCCTGGAAGTCTCCCCTTCCCAAGGATCCAGCCTTGCTACCTGGGAATACATCTCCTTCTCAGACTCACAGAAATGCAAAAGGGATCACCTCCAGTCAATAGCCACAAAAAATTGAGAATCAGGTTCTATTTGTATTGACGGCTGGAACCATGTGAACAACCACTGCAGCGAGGAAGAACCGTTATAGTTTAGCAAGGTTTCCTTGATAAGTGTTGATAGCTGAAATTACTTCCAGTAACCTTTAAAGACACAAGCTGCTGTCATCACAGGAGAAAGAAGACAATAATTACTTAAGAGAAACTGGGCTAACACCATTGTTTGTCAATACAATCATCACTGCAGCCCTCTGGAGCCATTACACACTAATTCAGATCCAGTTTTCCCCCCCCACTTAGGGCCCCCCCCCCCCCAACAGAATGAGAGTAAAGAATGTTTGTTGAAGGTTTCTCACATACACGGCAGTGGAGATTTGCATCAACTTGGGAGATTAATTTTGCTTTGTTTCTTAGGGGAATGGTGCTAAAAATGGATATTTTCCAGGTTTGTGATCTTCCACTAAAAATTCTTTTGAAAAGTCAACTTTATGTTTGTTCTTTGGAAAGTTGATATAAAACACTCGAAGAAACAAAATACAAATTAAAAACATGACAAATCAGAAACACACATAAAAAAGAAAAAAAATCAGTTTGTTCCAAATAATACCTGAGGCCACCATAGCAATGGCTGGTGAGTTAATTCCAGGAACAAAGGAAACTGGTGAAGAAGGGGAAATACTGTGCAGATCTTGTACCATACCTTCCAGATAGGTGCTGCTTTTGGCAGGGGATGTTGCTGCTCAAGTAGCACAGTGCCAAGCTGGCAGAAGGCTTTGTGCAGTGACCTCTCCAGAGGAAAAACAAAATCCACTTTAGTGGTTGGTATTGCATTGACTCAGCAGCAAGGAGCATTTGCTTTTGTGGCAAGCTCCCATTTCCCTCATGGTTATTGTACACCACATGTCAGTGATCTATTTACTTGTACAGTGTCCTGGTCTTGTTATTTGCTCTTATTTTTTTTTAAAAAAAGGAAGCCCGAACCACACTGTCAAACAAGGACAACACAGCCCCAAAAGTCAGTGCAAAGGAAAAGAAAACAGGAATTAATAGCCTTTGCACAAATTTGAGGCAATCCCAAATCTCTTCATCCCTCCCTCCCCCAAAAGTGATTGGGGAATACAATGCACTGGTGGCAGGAAAGGACCAGGAGATAAGTTCAGGAGAAGAATTCAGAGCCGTTAGCTCAGAGGTTGGAGATATACCATCCAGTGTGTACAAGAGAGGAAGACTAAGAATTGTGAACAAAAGCTGCCGGTTTGAACACAGAGGATACCCCTCTAGGCAGATTATCCAGAATCCCAGTGGGTGCCTTCTTCCACTGATGCCTTCTCCAAATGCCCTTCTCTGCCACTTCACTATGGAGGCATTACTGTTCCCTGCAGTCCACGCACCTTGAGTTTTTTTTTTTGTCAAGTTCCACTATAGAAACATTGTTTGCGGGGTTTTTTCTACAAGGTGGGTGCTAGGCTGGAAATTCGTTGCTGTACTGTCGCCTGTGATCATCATTAACCGAAAGATAGGTGGCTCGCATACTTGGAGAATACTGAGGAGAGAAGAAAAATGAGAAAAGTTATACCACATAGTTCCAACTGCTAGCTGACAGACAGGGGGGTTTATTACTACTGCTGCAATGTGTTTATGCAAAGTCCCATAAGAGTAGTATTAAAACTATAAAAATTTGTCCCGATCTGTTCTGTAAGCCTTAGGTGAAACTTGTTCATCTTATATGTTGGTGGAAACAACAGAACCACATATATCCTGATGATCAGTGAGGTAGGAATGAGATGGCAACAGAAAAGCACCCAGAATAAAGGAAACTAAGGGTTATGCCTTGTGTGTTTGGAAAGACAATGAGTCTAGTTGAGTGAAGAAACATTCAACAGAATCAAGTATCTAAAATATTCTTCATGCAACAGCTGGAGAAGGAAGGGATAAGAAAGTGGCTCTATTATGAAAGATTCAACAGTTCAACACACCAATTCCGGGTTTGTCTTAGTGAATGCCTGCTACCGAAATATTTTTACCATCTAAACAGGTTTTTGAAAGATCCCCAACTCTCAAACGATAAAAATTTCCTGCTATTTTCTATCATATCAATTCAATTTCCCCAAACAAAAATGTTCCAGTGGCTCTAAAAAGAGTTTAGAATATGGATGTGAAGTGCTTTGATTCTTTGTTGAGGCCCCCAAATCTAATAATAGGCAAGGCAAAGATTTTGAACAAGCCTCCTCCTCCTGAGATTATCTTTAGTTCTGTTTACAAAACAAGGGTCCCTTAAAGGGCTTCAATGAGAATGAGATTCCCTATTTATATGAGAAAGTTGAGGAAACACTAATTACTCAATTGGGATAAAAGTCACCTGGCACCTTACTTGTCAGCACATATTCTACTATACATGCTAAAAATGTAGCATTTGCATTGAATGCATGAGTCTGCCCATTGGTCTACCAAGAGCTCCTTCACATTATCTGTTCCCTGATTCTTTTAGCAGGAGATGTGCAAAGCAGGATCTTTACAAGAATTCCAGCAACCAGCAGATGTTTTATGATCTGCTGGAAACTGAGCAATGGTCTGCTGGTGGAAAAAGGTCTACCTCTCCTAGAACAAGCACACTACAACTAGAGACCATTGTAAATTCCTTTTCGGGTGACCCCCCCCCCCCAACAAAACACACAGTTGTTAGGTGGGGTCCACACGTACGCCTTCAAACCCCTTCATCTGTTGTAAGGACTTCATGTGTTTACTGCATTCAGCAGCCAGAGTGCTATAGTAAATGGAGTGATGCATTTTGACAGATTTGGCTTCAAATACCCGTTCAGCTTTGAAACTGAGGGCCTAACTATGTGGCACACTGTTCCTGAGTCTGTCCTGGCTCCTGCCAAGCCAATGTATGCTAGGAATTCCTGGCTGGAACTTGAATTCTCATGTGCATGGGGGCCAATTTGGATCAGGACCACAGTGTACAGGAAGGGGGTGGACTAAGTCTCCTGCCCTATGCCATTTGCCCAACCTACAAGGGCTTCAGGGAGACTCTATTTGCACCACTGTATTACCTGTAACGATGGGCAACGTTAATACCAATAGGCTACATGTAAGTTTCCCCGAGGAACATAAAGAATGGCTTCTCAGGACCATTTCAAGTCAGGAAACAGGTGAGGAAGAGTTAAGCTGTTTCTTCTCATACACCATAGTCATGAGCTGAATCAGCACCCACATGCCCGAGAATACAAGTTTCAGTCAGGAATCCCCAGCAGACGTCCACTTGGCAGGACCCTGGGATGGACCCAGAAACAACCTATCATATAGTTAGACCCTGAGTGGATACTTTTTGGAAAGCCATTAATTCTTAACCAGCCCTGCTTCACAGGATTATTGTGAAGATAAAACAGGAATTCCCCCGCTGCCTTAGTTCCTTGGAGGACTGGCAGGGCATAAACACAATAAAAACCACAGTAACAGTGGGAGCATAGCACTAAGGAATAACAGCAGGGTTTTGTTTGTCTGTCTGCAAAGACCCTAAGACTGAGAGAAAGCAAGAGTGTGGATATGAACAGGGAGGTGGAACAGTGGGAGAAAGTCTCCTGCATACCACAGTATGAAGGGGGGGGGGAATCATTCACAATATCTTTCTGGAACTCAAAAAAGCTTGAAAGCCTTTCCCCAAGGGATTTAAAGCCTGTTTAAATTGTGCTGTTTTGTGTATGTGGAGGGAGGTACTGGAATTAATCTGGCAGCATTTTGCTTCATACGCATCCTTGAGCTTCCCAATAACTGCACATTCTGCAACTGCAAGATTAAAACCTCCGAAGTTGGCCCACTTCCAGCACCTAGACAACCAATTTAAAAATAGTCCTTGCAAAAGATGGCACAGCAATCACTGGGGCTTTAAAAAAATGAAATTGTGCCAGCCTGTATTAAAATTTCAGCTCATCCTGATTCAGGCAGCCCTATGCAGAGCCTAGGCTTTGAATCCTCATGGCACGGGAGTCCATGGTTACAGTCTTGCTGGCCTACATCCTGGAGCTTCTATTTCCATAAAGCCACACTATCACAAAAATCCTGAGAGTTGTTCTCATCAAGGACACAGCTGTAAGTAAGGGAGCTATTCCTTCTCTTATACATGGATGTGTGCCTCTGATGAAAGCATCTCATTACAGAATACCACTCAGGAGCACACGCAAGATCAATGTACATTGAACCGGCATGTCCACAGTGTATCTTACACCAAGCCTAAATCTGTCTGTGCTGTGGACAAGACTCAGTTCAGTTTTGGTTGAGGGTTGCCAACTCTTGCTTGGGAAATTCCTGGAGGTTTGGGGGTGGTGCTATAGAGCCATCCACTGAAGCTGCCATTTCCTCCAAGGGAACTGATCTCTGTAGTCATGAGATCAGATGTAGTTCTGGGAGAACTCCAGGACCCATGTGGACATTGGTAACCCTATGTTGGGTACGCCTAGCTCAGTGTGACCATGAGACAGTGATGTGGAAGGAACAGGAATTGTAAGTGCCTTCCATTTCCTTCTCCTCTATAGCTCCATGCTGGGCCGGTTCCAGGTTTTGGGATGCCCTGGGTAGAGTATGCCTGGGAGAGCCCTGGACAGGGAATGCCTGGGTCCTCCCTGTTGCCATCTTATGCTGACACCATTCTTTCCAACTACCTGCCTGCATGCCCCTCCCTCCCCTGGCTGCCTGCCTGCCCTTCCCAGCCAGCTCACTCACCCGCTAGCCCTCCACTGTCTGTGTTCCCAGTGGCAAACCCCTCTATGCTCCTGACTGTGCTGGACATCCTGGGCAGAGAGGAGCATGGGAGGTGAGAGAGTTTGCAGGGAGTGGCTTGGTGAAGACTGCACAGGTGGATGGCTTCAGTGGACCCTGCTGGAAGTCCTGGGCCCCAGCAGCTGCCCTCACGTTGGGGTATGCTGCCACCAGCCCTGCCTCTATCTTTTCTGAAACAGAACATGTGGAACTGTACCACCGGAGAGGTCTTCAAACTGCCTTTACGTTGGAAGGCCTCTCATCTCTCAGGCAGGGATGAACAGTGCAAGGTATTTTTCAGATGAAAAGCATATGCAAAGGACAAAGGAGAGCGAAGGCACTTGTCTCCGTCTGTCTCCCCTGCAACCGTCACATTGGAAGCTGAACTCAGGCTAGTAATAATCAGAGATAAGAAACATTTTTTCTTCAAATACTGACACGAAACCAAACAAAGAAGAAATCCCCAAATCAATTTCCTGCCTTTTTATTCAACATACTGTTGATGAACATGGATGTTCTGGGGCTGCTTGTCCCACGTGGTGTCATTTTGTGTGTGTGTCATCCCCACGGATGGCACCTCTGTTGTAGGTCAGACCTAAATGCCGCAATGCATAGTTTTCAAAAAGATGTTTTGCAATACTACAGTAAAGTTCTGAGTATGTGGAAAGTAAGCCTAAACGTTAATTGCTGAATATGTTCCTTAGCCAAATAGTGGGCACATGGTTTTGTTGGCATTAAGCACTCTTTACTACCAGGGGAGTAGTTTAAGTCAGAATTTTAAATTAAGAGAGTTATTTTTTTCTCTTATAGACTGATATGCATATCCAATTAAAAATCTTGTTACAGAACAACAGAAAAACAAAGCAAAACAGTAGCTACTCAGTGGCTAAAAATCTCTTTTCTGTGGCCACAAATCTCTTTGCCTTCAAATTGCTACTTCCCAGTCTTTGTTTCCCCTGCTTCCAGCTTCAATCTGAACTCTTTAAACCAGTAGTAGAATGGGACTACCTTCTAACACCATGGGTTGGATCTTACAGGTTCTGCTGGTGGAGAGGGGATCTCTCCCTCACCTTCCTCTCCCACTGGAAGCCCCTTGTGACTCCTGGAAAGCCAGAGGTTGAGGACCCTTGCAGACCAAAAGACTAGGGATGGGCATGAACTGGGAAAATGTGGTTCAGTTCATGACATGCCCCATTTGCGAACTATGGACCATCAGTTTTTTAGCTGCCTCACAAAAGGTTCAATTCATGAGGTGGTAGAATACCCCCCCCCCCCCGGTGTGCTAGAGACACCAAACTCGCAAGAGATCTCCAGCTCATTCTCCTCTACCTGCCCTCCAAGTCTGGTGAGGATTGGCATTATGGTGTCCAAGTTACAGCCCTCCCCAAGAAGGTGCCCCCAGTTAAGTGCTTTCTAATTCCCCAGAAAGCACTTTCCTGGGGGCACCTTCTTTGTGGGGGGGGGCATAACTCAGACCCCATAAATCCAATCCTCACCAAACTTGGAGGGCAGGTAGAGGAGAGTCAGCCGGAGATAAATTGTGAGTTTGGTGGCTCTAGCTTGAACAAGACCCATTCTATACACTCCTCAACCTCCTGAACCTGCACCTGTCAAAATGACAGCTGTCAGGTTGTCCTTTTGACAGGTTCAGGAGGTTAGGGAGTGTATAGAAAGGATCCTGTACAAGCTAGAGACACCAAACTTGGAAGGCATGTAGAGGAGCATCCAGGGGAGGTCAGCTGCAAGTTTGGTGTCTCTAGCTTGCACAGGATCCTTTCTATACCCTCCTGTGCCTGTCAAAATAACCAGACCTGTGCCTGTCAAAATGACCAAGGTTCAAGAGTGTATAGAATGGATCCTGTGCAAGCCAGAAAATCAAAGTCACAGGGGACCTCCCCCAGATGTTCCTCTACATTGTCTCCAAGTTGTTGCTTTGAAGTTCTGTAAACATTTTGATTGAGTGGAGACAGTCTGTCTTGGAATGTCTCCGCTCATGAACTGGCAAGAACCTCCACAAACAGCTTGAAAGTTAATGGAAAGTTCGTGCTGGGTGACCTGCCACGAACTTGACTTTGTGAAGCACGAACCAGCCATAATTCATCACAAACTTTAGTCCATGAGCCAGTTCATGCCCATCTGTACAAAAGACACAAAGGCTGAAGGGCTGCAGAAAGGAGAGGAATTGGACAAGATTTCTGCTGCCAAGAGGAAGAACTATTTGTAGGATTCAGCCCAGTGAGGAGGGAAAGCACCATCAGTGAACTGTATTGAAATAAGGAGCTTTGAAGTTTTACTATATTAGATTATACTAGTTGATTATGGAAAGACAGTATTAGAAGGGAAGGGAAAGTTTTCTACTATATTTTTTCCAGCACAGGCAAATGATGAAGATTGTGAATCACTTCTCCAAAGACTAATTAAGGGTTTTTCATGGTTTTTCTACCTTGTCCTGGACATTAGGGGTAAATACCTACCCTGGGTGCACTCTTCTTGCAAAAACTCTACAGTCAATGGCTCTATCACTTTACCTTTCTGAAGACTCTGTTGCATGATATCCCCAAAGGAAAATTACTTACCATTTATTGTTCCTTTTATTTCAGGAAAACAATGGATTTTCTCACTGTGATAACTTTGTACCTTGGCCCATGTTAAGTATCAGGGTACTAAGTTACCCCAGCTCAGTTTCACTAGTCACTTAGCTATATTTGTTTGTTCTGTTTTCAATAGAACAGTCTTTTATAATTTTATGAAAGAAACACAATTGTCATACTGTCAGGCATAATTGTGCATGTGTATTTTTGTATTTGCAGGATATGGAGTGGGATATAGTAGGTAACCAGCTGTCTCCAAAGAAACAAACTTTCTCCCCTGGAGTTAAGACATGGTTTTAAATCATGACACTAAACTATACACAGTATATTACTTGGGAAAATGACAACCAGCCTGAAATTCTGGGTGTCCCTCATTTTTGCTTTTTCCTCAACTCTACCCAGTGTAGTATTCAGCAGGGAACACCTCTGTCTCATCAAATCCACTAACCCCAACATGTACGTTGAGGGCATACAAGTAAAAGTCTGGCATTTTGAAAAGCCATGATTCCAGAACTGTTATGGGTGCTAACAGGGAGAGGAAATTCACAGCACAGGGAACTTAAAATCATGGAAAGTCTTTAGGAGGGAGCAAAACAAAACAAAACTCCTGCCCCAAAGCAAGGAAAGGTACAACAATAAAAAAAACCAACAACAAATAACCAACTTACTCTTGAAGGGCAACATAGCTCCAAAAGTTGATGCAAAAACAAAGCAAATATTAGCAGGCAAGATATGTTTCAAAGGAACATTACACCAAACTGAATAGAGTACTTTTGCTTACACTGAAAGCAAGCTGAAAGAAAATTTGAAAGGCTTATAAAAACAAAAAGCAAGAATATATTATCTTCTTGTTAGTTACAATGTGCAATTCTTTTCTCAGCAACAAGACAACTAAGGAAATGTTAGTGTGCAGAGGAAAAATTAAAAATATGGCACTGTGTAAACAAGGTTGTAGAGTGTTAAGATACACAGTAGACATAAGTGGGAAAATCCACCAATGTGACAGGTTTGCAGGACAGCCTCCATCCAACAGTCTGCAGGTGTGATGGGCTGAGAACCAAATGCCATAAATCATGGAGCTGCTCTCTTACTGCCACACTGCTGCTCACAGCTAGCCTGCAAGGATGCAGCCTCAGTGGATTGCACCCAAGGCTGTCTACAGGTGTTGCAGCTAAACATCCATGGGAACAAGGAATGCCAGCCACCCAAAAGACAGGACTTCCCAACAGTTTTTTTATCTTCCCACAGATACAAAATTCAGGCTCAGACTGTCATTTTCGGTGACGTTTAAATTTTTTTAAATTAAAAAGTTGCTCATTTCCTCATCTCTAACATCAGAAACAAAACTATTTTAAGCTTCTGACAAAAGCAGGAGGCTTTCTCGTCCCAGTTTAAAATATGTGTGTGGTTAGTAAAAGCAGAGGGAAATAAAAGGGTGTGTTATAAAAATGATTTGGCCTCTGACGCCCACCGTACCGTGGGGGGAGGCGATCCTCTTCCAATCAGTGGGACGTTTTCATAGCGTGGGTTCCCACCAAAGAGCACAGCTTGGTTCCTGCAGGTAGAGAGGAGCAAGGTCAGGATGACAGTCTATTAAATGACCTCAGTTGCGAGCCTCTGGCTAGGAAATATTCCCCTGAAGTTCCCACAGAAGTAGCCATCCTAAATGGGGTGAGGGATGAGGAAGGAAGGAGGGGGAAAGAGGAGATGCTAACTCAATGAGCTGGCTGCTGGGGACCAAAGGCAGTCTCCCCATTTCTTCTATAGTGCCACTGGGAGGTGGTGAGAGAAAAAGTGCGTGCATATCTTTAGCCTCTGGTCTCTCAGCTCTCCCTAGCTCCACCCTTTGTCAACGTCACTCACTGAGGAGTCACACCAGCATGCAGTTCATGCTACACTATGTGAGTGCCCTTGGTGAGTAAGGGGCAGGACAGTGAGAATTAAAGAGACAAGGAAAAAGATATACACGTATTTTCTCTTCCCTCATCATGGCACAGGAAAGAAGGGGAAGGAAACAATTCAATACTGCTGGTCCACTAGAAAATGACCAGTGATTGACAAGTAGGTTGCGATGAATATTCTGCCTATCCCTGGCCGAGGGATTTTCAGAGTTCATCCCCTCTGCACTTTACTTGGTGTAGGTTGGAAGGGTTGACATTTCCACACTCAAGTTAGGCTAATGTTAGTGACCCAACAGGCAGCACTCAGCCAATTCTACTACATACAGCTCTGCATGTGGTGCAGCATGCTTTCATGGGACTGTACTAACTGGTGGTACAAAGAGAGGGAAAACTTGTCCTAAAGCTTCCCACTATTTAAAATACTTCCTACTTAAGGAAACCCCCCAAAGTCTGGCATTCTTCAGTGGTATGTTTCTGTGTGAGGAATGTTCCACAGTATGTCAGTAATAGCATGTTTTAATCAGCTCCCCTTTGTTCCATGTCTGGGCAGATGAGAGAGTGCATTTGGGAAACACATGCAGCAAGCAAAACTCATATTTTTTGCTGCTGAAACATACCAAACACATATAACAAGAAACAGCTTTGCTGCTGTAATTTCAAAATTGGCAAAGACTGAAACGCAAATCTGAGGGTTTATTTTTAAATTAAGTTTGAGCCATTATTAGTTTTATCCAGATTTTGCAAAAGAGGATTAAATGGTTCTTTTTCGCTAAAAGGAAATCCTATTATTCCTAAACAACCCTTTTGATTTAGCATTTATAACCAAAGAGGGCCACGGAGTCATTTATTTGTGAAAATACCTATAACCTGGATGCATGTGATATGTTACAATAGTGAGCCTAAAGATAAGGAGAGGGGTGTGGAACTGTTTGCTTTGGGATGGCATGGGTGGGGGCAGCAGGAGTTCCTCCCCATTGGTAAAGCAGCTGGGCTGATGCTTCCTCACACTGGGATGTGCAGCCTCCTGAAAGTAGCATAAGGCAGAGAATTGGCATCTATATTCAGATATGCAAGATAAGACTTCATGGAAAGTGAAAAACTGATACCGGGCAGAACAACAAAGCACAGTGAATGGAGGAACTGGTATCAGAAAAATAGCAAAGATACATGCCACATTTTTTTCTATTAGGACATCTCCCTTTTTGTCCAGTATTTGATCATATCAAGTATTAGATTCCCCCTCCTGCAAAAAACAACAACACATGACTGCTAAAGGAACAAGTTCACAACTGGCTGAGGCCCAAACTACATCTGAGAGGTTGCTGAATACCTGCTGGCAGCAGTCACGCATTCTGTGTAGCATTCTGCTTGGGCCTGACAAAAGAACTCACCTGTGTTGCTATTCCTTGAACAAGCTCTTTTCTCCTCCTTTCTCATCAAGCAACTAATCTCTCAAAAAGAGAGGCAAGCAAACAAACAGCTGGGAGGGTGTAAGAAGGAGCTAAACAGGCAATCCTTCCTCATCAAATGAAAGAGCCATTCAAAAAATCATTCCCTAGATAACGAGCTAGCAAACACACAGAACAGTGATACCCTTCAAACAAAGTGCTGCCTGGGGAAAGAAGATACAGAATGGACAACATCAAATGCTTGCAGCCATGAATATCTGGTCCAAAAAAGTATTGCTTTACCCATTTAGTCTCTTATACATTCACTAGGGTATTATCACTTTAAGGACTGTATCTACAAGTCCTTTGAGAAGACTTTCTACAGTATCTGCCCAGCTGGCGATACATGTGATTCCCTTCTGAAACAAGAGTCTGTAGAGTTTTAAAATCCTGAATGACCCAGAGCTGATTCATCCATTGAGTAGTTGGAACATATGACCAGGGCATCTAATCTGTTGGGGATACTGAATAGCCAGTTGTTAGGAGGGTGGGATGGAGACACATCATGGTTCTCAAAAGAGCAAGATGGAGAAGAAGCATATGGGAAAGTGACTTATGAGTCTCAGCAGGACCATGTGATACTGGAGTGTGAGGGATGGAAGGTAGCCAGATAGCTTGGGCTATGTCTGCAGTGTTCTTGGGACCTGTAAAGGTCCATATGTAGGCTTGGGTGCCTAAGATACTGGTGATAGATCCAGATGGGTAGCTGTGTTAGTCTATGTAGCAGTAGAAAAGAGTAAGAATCCAGTAGCACCTTAAAGACTAACAAAATTTGTGGTAGGGTATGAGCTTTCGTGAGTGACTGCTCACTTCTTCAGATAAGATACTGGTGCTGACATTTTGTACTCACATGTACTCAGACACTGGGGCATTGGAGATAGTTTGTGCTGGAGGTTGGAGACTGGTCTGACTGCCCAGGCTGCTACTGTAGCTGCAGAAACTACGAAGCTGCCCACGTGTGGGGTTGTGGGCAGCAATACGCCGGGCCTGTGGGTTGAAAGGGTCTTCTTCATCTATGTCATCGTATTCCCGGTCCCTGGAGGCAAGAGAAACAATGCAATAAAACTAGGTACAAGACACCAACAGAACCCACCATGCACAGAAAATGATTGTGTCCTGCCAACACGTCTACAGAAGAATATTGACTGACACTAGCAAAATCCACACCAGTATAGCATTCCTGTAAAGATGTTGTGGAAGCAACAGAATCTGGTATTTTAGATATTTTAGAGATCCCCTTCTTGTGAGGTTTCTTATCCAAGCATCAATATGTAATGCCAACACAGTGACAACACTTCAGAACTTCTTTCACCATGACAAAAAACACAGATTTAATTCTCTCTAAAGGCTGGTTCATAGATGACACAAATGCATGGAAAGACCCCCAACAGTTTCATGTGTCCTCAACTCTGTCTTAATGTTGGAAGTGGAACTTGTGCATCTCAAGAGCTCGAGAGGTAATCAGAAGCCAATGTTTTAAACCATGAAGATGCACATAAAGGTGCATGGGCAAGGGTAGAGGGTCTCTTCTTAGCTGATCCTTCTCTCCTACCTGCTTGCCTGTGCACCTGGTACATGTATGATAAGCACAAAAGGCCTACAGAAATGTAGGTCTGTTACCAGGCAACAGACTCATGTGCTTCCTTAATTGCTTCCAGGAGGTCATGCAGAAGTGTCGCTAAGTAGCCTCATGTTATGCTAGGCAACCTCAAGGTTTAATGGAAGATCCCCATTAGGTGGTATTTGATGTGATTATGATCAAGACAGAAGAAAAATATTAGCTCATGGTTCTGATGATACCATTCCATGATCAGAGGTAGCAGAAACAAGCAAGCTATGGAATTAGAAAATAAAATCATAATGTACCTGTCATGATCTGGGCTGTGCCACCAGAGGCCTACTAGGCCCAGGGAGCCTGGCTAGCAATAGGTGAGGCTGGGCCTACAACTCCCAGAAGCCCCTGAGAGGTTTTGGAGCCAAAATTGACCAATAGGAAGAGGAGGGCTTGGAATAAAAGATCGGGAGCAGCAGGAAAAGCTGTTTTTTCTTCGAGGGCAGAGCCAGAACGAAGGCTGCTGC